ACTTTTCATCTCTGAACATTTTAAGCTATCTTGCTCCATATCCTCACAAAATTCTAAAAACTTTTTTTTCAATCTGAACAAAACCAATAGATTCACACGTGAAAACGGTGTGAATATAAAAACTATTTTTCCCATAAACTAAGGACCAATGTCTTCAACATAAGCATATAAGCTGAATTTTTGACAAACTTTTCACTTTTTCGATCAACGTGGGTCGCAGAAAAGTTCCTCAGTGTGCTTTTCAGAAATTGCGAATTTTTAAATTTAAATTTTTCATTTACATAACTAGGAACTATGTATTTTAATTTGGATAGAATTTGGACACTTCTGCAAAACCAGGACCCCAAGTATGTATAATGTAACACAATATTACATAGTTTTCGCAATATCAAGAGCTGCTAGCCGTGATATTTTATTCATATTACAAATTGTAATGGCTGGAAAAGGGAGATAGTAAGTTGGATTATTAGTGCTTTCAATAACTGTTGTAGTTGGTGTTTCTGCATTCCAGTTCCATGATATCCACAATAACACTATTGCAGCAATTAATGCAAAAAAACTCAATATAATCCATAAATAACGTTCAAATGGATGATAATCTTTTTGTATTGTATGCACGTATCCATGCAAACTTGTAACAGAACAAAACTCGTATACTTTATCCTTAAGCCATTCCTTGAATATTTCTTTGCGGGGTCTTTTTGGCTTTATAAACGCTTTTATGGCATTTTCTCTCCGAACATCTTCAATAATTTTAAAAGATGCTGCCTTTAACATGTCCGTTTTCTTCATTTTTGACTTTTTTTAAGCTCTACTTGAGGAAACCGTTAAGACTTGTCGATGCTCGCGAGACAAATGGACGAATATCCGCGAAATTCGTTTTACAGTATGTCCAAGCAAGGTTAATTAATTCATGATAATTACACCCATTAGGAATATTTGATGATGATAATTATTCAAAAGTCATCGCCAAGTTTATGACTAAAAAAATCTGAACATATTGTCATTATTACTTACATTCTCGAGCTGTCTGCAGTCTTAAATTCCTGCAATAATATATTAATCGATTTTTGCAACCTTGGGAATGTGACACAAACATGAAAAGGATTAATGTAATAGTCTTTGGTACACATTAGAGTCATGATATAGGATAGCGAAAAAGTATCATTTATGAAGAGGATTATTCATAATTAACGTCCATAAACAATTTTGAATTTTAAGGCCACTCGCTTCCTACTTTTGATTTATTTGTATTGATATGTATGAAGTGTTGCAAGTCTAAAATAGTAAGTGATTGGTGAGCGATCCTCATTCGATATTTACGTTTATGTTCTACATGCATATGTAGGAAAAATGATAACCAAATCAATTTGATTTGATTTAAAGCATACTTTTTATTTTAATCCGTATGTAAACATGTATCGATGTGTATACATGTATATTCTTGTCGTTCATGTCGCTAACTGCAAAAACCGCATAAAATAAATTGAGTTAGAGCAAGTGAAAAAAATTTGTATGAGAAAATGAGAAATGTTTTCGAGGTCAGTGATCTAAAGATAAAAAAGAAAAGAAAGATGAGGAAGTATTTTTCGTGTGCACATTCATTGCATTTTACTGAAATTAAACCTTACATCAATGCATAAATGCACTGAAAATACATTAAATAATGATCAAAGCACAATTTGATGATACATTTCTCACTTTGAGAATTGAGAATAAGAAAAAAAACCATTTGATGTAATACACTTTTTGTTCTACATCGTGTATCATAGGAGCTATTACCGGGAATTTCTAACAAAATATTACATTTTCATTATTTAACGTATTTACTTCGCCTCAGTGCTAATCTAGTTATGTATATTGTTGTGGTTTAAAATTTTTATTTATAATTTTATCAACAAACAATTGTCGCTCGTATCGTATGAAGTCATTAAATTTCCAACATATGGAGTCATGGATGAAATTTTAGGATTCTATTGTTAATTGAGATGATTGCGAGACTATTACATACTGAACTAACGCATATTTATAAAGAAAATAGCTTTTTTAAAACAAAAGAACTTAGAATAAAGAATTTTATTAAATAATTGAGGTCATCCTAGACTAATCTTGAAAAGTCTTGAACTAAATAGTTTTAAAATAGATACCAAGAGAGAATTTTCGAGACATACTAAGTTCAAGCTAGTGTAGACCATCCGCACCAAATAAAGCTATATTCTCAAACAAACCCTAACTTCACAGCTGTTTGAGCTTTAAAAACGGTTTCAAAATATTTATCTAACACCAATTCTGACTATTTAGTCTATAAAAACCTTTTTTTTTTATTTGGGACAATTTCAATTTTCACATTCACACCAAAATTAGTAACCCGTATGTGGATGCTTTTACTTATGTCATGTAAAATTTAGAAAAAGGGTTCTTAACCATTGAGTCTAAGTCTTTAAATTTTCAATTGACGTCAATGATACCAAAACAAAATTGCTTTCACTATCTTTGAATTTTTTTTTTATCATAATCATATTAATAATGCACGTAAAAGAATCGATGACATTGATATTAATAAAATATAGTCGCAATTCAAATCACTTTTATTGTCGGCAATATTGACTCTGAGAATTAAACTCTGCAGTTAAATATAATCAATATAGTCTATTCATTTCCTTTCTAAATAATTTCCCATTAAACGAAGTGGTATAAATGTAATGAATTAAGCTTAGCATATGGTGATACGATTGTTTATATAAAAGAACGTAATAATAGTTAACCTAGGATGAAAATGTACCGATTTTCAAAGCTATTCAATTGTCTGTAATTGAAAATTGTTTATATATAATATTTTCCATATCTTCACCATCTTACTTCCAATACAAAATTTTCGTTCGACGTTTTTTTTTTTAATTTATTTTATCTATCAAGGTCAAAATAAACGTGTGATAAAGTTGTCATCTCTTTAAATATGTACAGCATGTTGTGTGTGTGAAAATCTTCTTACTCAAAATTATTTAAAGTCATTTACTTGTTTCATAGATTTTTCTGAGGTACACAAACTGTACATAACCGTATAGGAAAAAATCGTGCACATGATGTGGCGCTATTCTTATCATTCAAGGGATATTTTTGTTTGACGCCACATTCCACTTCATTAAATCATGTGCCTCTTTCACCTAGTTACCAACAAAACTTACATTTTGTCTATATGTATTGGGTGACTACGTAAAGTACGTATTTCGTACAATATTAATATAAATATTATTCTGTACAACGGAATTTTTGCGAAAAATAATAAGAACAAAAATATTATTGCGTTTAAAGAGTAAAGCTTTTATTTGTATATTCTATACGCTGTTATTCAACGTCGTCAATTAAACAAATCTGAAAATAAATTTTTTTATATTTTTTCTTTGCTTCTTCCTATTAAATTAAATTTAGTTTTCTATGCAAGAACCCCCCCTCTGATAATTGAGAGATTTAATTTTAGGCAAAAAATAGAGTAGACAACGATCTGAGTTACAGAAGCGTAATCAGTCACGTTGTAAGTGTTTTTTTTTTTTTGTTTGAACAAAGTAAATTGTGCCAATGAGGTTTGACCTTGCGTATCTGCCTGGATAAGCCCTTCTAGGTCGTTTTAGAGTTATTCATTGATGCCGATGCTTTTTATACACTATAGATCATAAAATAGAATTTAATGAATGATCTCATCGTAAGACGAAATCATTTGTGTAAAATTTTCATCTATTACATAATTGATAAGTGTACACAAAACAAATCCACCCGTTCAACACACATCACAAAAAATAAAATGTGCATTATGTGATGTAGCTAAAGTCTGCTAACCTCAAAGACTTTGAACTTTTCGTATACATACACAAAATCAAAGGGATCTGTGTATAAAATTATATTTTGTTGACTTTGATAACAAAGAAATGATCATCTATCTAATATAGTATTTCTGGTGAAAGATTTGACTTCAATATGGGCATTAATGAATACAAAATATGACAAGTTCATTCAATTCTTACATTTGTGTCTGTATGATGTTGTTTACGTGTCATATTTATCACGTTTCATTCTCTCACTCTCTGCTATAGTAACATATAAGTTTGTCTCACATATTACACACAATATCATAGACATACTCTTTTGTAATGGTCCAATACATCAGAAAAGAAGCAACGGATAAATGCTAAAAAGTGGCATATATCCAAAAATAATTTCTAACAATTCGAGTGTGTGTCTGAGCATATATACAATCATACTAGGTTTCTCAATGACTGCCTATAAAATAGATCTGCATGTATATTAGACATACTTTTTGAGATTCAGATAAAAGAAAAAGTTTGAGATTCGCGTAGATGTTCTCTAGGTTTGCTGTTTTGCTTGATGCGGCACATATCAAAAAATGTAAACATGAATGTATAAAATATAAAAAAATTCTCTTTTCGCTCATTTCTCTCAGTTAGACAAACTCGACATACATGCAACGCACACAATCCAATGTAAAGAGCAAGAGCAAGTAAAGCAATTCCTCCTTTTGTAATATTGAGCTCTTTACTCAGCTCTAAAGTGAACAAAAATTATTCACGTGAAATATGTTAGAGATAGTATTTTACAGTTTGTGGCTGAATGTGCATGACAAAAAGAGTCTTTCTCGCGTTTAAAATAAAAATAAAGAGTTAATAAGAAGAAATAAGGAAAGGAACATCAACTTTTTACTTTCCATCAGTGATAGTTTAATAGATGAAAAGTGAACAAATGATAAAGGAAATAACTATAGGGAAACACGTGGAGAATATATGAAAATATTTTTGTGTATACCCTAATTGAATTACAATACAATAAGTAAAAAAATAAAATATAAATTTTAACTAGGTAGAGCTTTCACATCGAAGGTTAAATAAGACATAAATAAATATATATAAAAAAAATACAATCAAGTGGAAGAGAAAACAAATTTTTTATACATTGTCAAAATAAAAGTGAATTCTGCAATCGACAGAAAAGAAAAACTTGACAAATTTAGTCCACGTTGCATAGTTTTCAGTTCACATAGAACTGCTTTATAAAACAACATTTTTGTTGGTTTTATTATTTACTACTGCCTATTAAGTGATATTTGCTTGCACACTATAAAAAGTCTTCCCCGTTAGTTAATTTATTTGAACACGTGGAAATTTAAGCATAAAGGTCTACTAAAATGATGTTTTTGTAAGTATTTCTCTTTATACCTCGCATTTAAAGTCAATTTTAGAATTTGTTGTTCTCAAAAAAAAAAAGAATTAAATAAAATGTGTCATTGAGAAAAATAAAATTGGAACTAAGACGTCGTATAGATAGATGTGTGAGCATGCACACTCAAATCCGAAATCCCCAGATCTTGTGCGGCATTTCATAGAAGAAAGAAGAAAATTTGTTATAATTTCTCACCCACGTTTGTGTGCTTTTCTTCATTGATATTACCACACAATGTTCTTCTTAATATTCCTCCTTTTTGTGAATTTCTATCATCAATTCATCTGTTCCGTTCCGTTTCTTAATTATTATTATCGGATATTGTTGATAAATTATTTAAAATAATTAACAGACAATGTTAAAATCATTTTGCATTACTAAGGAAGTACGTAATACACTTTGTTTGTAGCATCTGCATTAATCTCTTTAAGTGATTCAGATATATTTGATGGCGTTGAAAAAATTTTAGACGTGATTGAGCACAAATACTATTTTATTGCTGAAAATGTATATCAAATTTATAGAAATTCTGTACAATTAAACAATGCTTAATGTTCGTATTTTCAATTATTTAATGTGCACAACGAAGGAAAATATGAAGCACACATTGGGGATCATTCAAAAATCACATCAAACATTTTGGTGTGGAGTGTGCTTTGAGCTGTATGACACATCATTTAAAAAAAATTTTTGTCAGAGAAACGTCGATGCTGGCCACTAAATATCAGATTTTTGTCGATGGACATTACTTAAAGACGACCCTATAGCTACCTCGTCGATTCTTTTACATAGAATTTTAAGTAAATAAAGTAGAAAGAAAAGTAAAGTGAAGTAACATTTCCTCGTGGCTAAAAAAAAAAGTTTTTAAAATAGAATTTAGAGAATCATTAAGCTTACGAATGTGTCGTGAATGTGTTTATATACAAACACGATGATTGATCTTAACAAGTGTCCCAAATCATTGAGTGCATTCGGAATTTTTTTTTGTGTCATATATTTGGAACTTCGGGAATTGAATTAGGTGCTAATTAACATCTCTCCCCCATTTTTTTTAAATCTATTGTCAATTCATATCTAGTGCACGCTGTATTATATTAATATTAAATAATTTCGTTCAAATAAACTGTTACATTTGCCAAGAATTTTTTATTCCACACTTTAGAAATTAAAGTTTTTGTTTAATACTTTCTTCGTTTCGTATGTATGTACATATTACGCATTATTTCATGCAAAAGTATTTGTTCAGCATGTATAAAACTGAATAAAAAAATTTCAAATTAGCTTATTGCAGATGAAAGAGTTTCTGAACGAAATAAAAAGAAAGAAATGCTCATCAGTTGAGCTACCTATGAATTTTTAAATATAGAAGAGCAATCGAAACAAATTGTATGTATACATACGTAAGGCATAAAATCTATATGGCATATAAAACACAAAAACCGTTTCAGAAAAGAAATGTAAACGCACGAAAAAAAAATTGAATTGATTTTAATTTCAATTGAACTTCCGCTATTTCTCATTCGAAATAGATATGCATGCAATAGGTCTACATTAATTTTATTTGATTATCGTTTGTGTCACATATTTATGCATTTGATTAGATATTCTAAATGACATCATGTCACTCCTTTCCTTGGATGACCAGATGTAAAGATTTTAATCGAAACTGTTGTGGACAGTCGTGGTTGTTGTAGTCTCTTGAGGTAGGGGTCTCTAAATATTAAAACTTACATCCTTAAAACCCAATCCTTTATCTCTCATTTATTCCTATTCATTTTAATTTTTTTTTGTGTCTTATTGATTTAAAAAATAAGTAAATGGATATGAATTGACCCTAGATCTATTTCATTATTGGGAATTGGAATTAAAAATATGTAAAGTATGGTATTTGACTTTTTATGACTTGATAATCAAATTTCCTGTCAACAAAATTACTTACGATAAGGTCATTCGTGTGGATTGTGCAGTTATTTAAGCCAGCATAATGAATAGGGAAATCCTTTGAAAAATTTATGCAAATGCTTATGAGAAGAGAAAACAAAAAATATTCATTAGTCTTTCCCTGTAAAGCTTTAAAACTTCATACGTCAAATTTTAAAAAATTATTCATATTTTTTTGCGATAAGAAAAACATATATTTAATGAGTATTCAAAAAAATTATAAACTCAACACAGTTGCAAATAGCAAAAAAACTGGCAGACAAGTGCAGTGAATCCATGGGATGTGTGTTTAATAAATAACACAGAATAAGAAGAAAATGGAATACTTGTAGACTATATAGTGCATTCAACTGCAAACTTTTTAATTCTCTCCGATTCTCTCTCTCTCTCTCTCTCTCTCTCTCTCTCTCTCTCTCACACACACACACACTCCTTTCCTATCAAGCTGTTTACAAACAAGTTTTTCTTTTCCTTTCTCATTCATGACAACAATAATAAATTATATTTTTGATGAAAATTCATTTGCTTCAAATCAAATATTTTTATTAGCCTTAATTCAATTCTTTTCTCTACATTTGGTTCGCTCATGCGATAATTGTAAATCATATCATTATTGTTACCATTATGTTATTTTTAGGTTTATGTAACAAGCAAAAAAGAAAAATAGAGGCATGATCATAACACATACTTTGATGACAGTTAAAAATAATATATGTGTAAATTTTTGTCTAACGCTCACAAAAAAACCAAGTTTTGATGATAAGAAAAAATAAAATCGTGACGTCAACACAACATTGGTTACCATCACAACATTTAAAAAGAAATGAATGTGTAGAAATATTTCGGGAGAAAATTTCTACTTTTGCGAGATAAAAATGATCTTAGTCGTCACATGACACTAAAACTAATGAACTCCTAAAAATGATGAAAATGTCTTATCATATTTCATAATCAACTATTTGATAATATTTTTGTGTGACATCTTTTTGGGGTTTCTAAAATCATTTTTTATCTCTCTTCTGCTTCTTTTTCCTTGTGCCTTGTTATCTCTTCTCTCAAAGACTAATACATAGAGACCTGTGGGAATTAATGCAGAAAAAAGTGTATAATGAAGAAGAACTTAATGTAATTATTCATTTTTTAATTGCACTTTATTGCATTTATTGACGACATACTGTCCGGAAATAATTCACATTTTACACTTTTGTATTTGTATACATATGAATTAGTATTATGTAGGATCAAACTTCTAATCTTCATATCTAGGTTTCAAATAAACTAAGGCTCTCGTTTCGATCTTCTGTAGGCGTTACGTGATACTTTTCAGGTCCGTTCTATCAATATTCCATTCGTGGGTAATCTTGTAGCTCTCGTTCCTATTTCTCCCGCTACACTTCAAGTTCCTGACCCGTTCCTTAATCCAACGTTGCCCAAATGCCCAATTATGGCTTGATCTCGTACATTAAGCAGTCGAAGTATCTAAACTTCCGAAAAAGAACAAATTTGGAAATGGCTGGATTCGAACCGACGACCTTCGAGTTACCATCCCAAATTTGAGCCAAGCGCCTTACCTATTCGACCAGCAAGGCACTTAACTGCTTATTCAAAGTATGAATATGCACAGCTTAGTGAACTCAAGGAGTTCTCAGAATTTATTAATTTACTGCCAAATACAGAAGAGAAAAAATTTGTTTACAAACTGTCATACAAATTTCGCGAATTTAAAGTAGTAAGTTAGATGCGAGAATGTTTTACTATAATTAATATAAATACGAATTACGAAAATGATTTATGATGAATGAAAAAAATCAAATACTTTACAATCCTTTACTCATTATTCAATTTATATTTATTTTATTTTAATATGTCAACGATAGATGCTTGTGCTGTTCTTATGGGGACTGTCTATTAATAATGACTCCTAATTCACGTGATTCGTAGATATGAGATTCCTTTTTTTTATGAAAATCACAAAACAAAGTGTCACGCAACATCAGAACCTCAAAAATTTTAAACATTATTTATGAATGATCCTTATGACTAATTTGTGTATTAAGTGGTATATTGTGCACGTATAATCTCACTTATGCACAACTAGAATCTAAATTTAAGAGGTTAATTATATCATAAGATACTTTTTTTCTGCTTGTATTGTTGACCACAGACTAACTTGCTTGCTAATATACGTACATATCTATGAGTAAAAGTATATCATATGTATACATTCGTTATTTTGTGTTTATTAAAATGCTTATTTTTGTGTTTGTTGAAGCGATTAGCGTAATTTTAATATGATACACGCGAAAAAGAAGCAATCAAGTTGTAAAAAAGGCAAATCAATACCGGCAATGACGATTTTCAGTTGCAATGACCTACTAGAACGACAAAAGATCAAAGAATTATCGTAGTTAACTAGAATATCATTTATAGATGTGGATTTTCATGTCTAGACAGTATTCTGATAAGGTTAGAGGTCCGGAATATTCTATATAAATATTATGATGCACAAAAGTTAAATACAGAGGGATTGACCACTTAATAAAATAGATGAAAGCTATGCTGATAAATTTATGCAGCGAAAATGTTCAAAAACGTAATGAAATTAGAATTTTAGGCTTGAGATTTAAAACGGTACCAAGTATACATTTCGAATTTATTGAAAGAAGAGAAAAAAATGTTAGTTTGACTACATTAAACACATAAGACGATGTTATAGATGAGAAACTATAACTCTTTCCAAGCAAAACAAAATATTTTTTTCTCGAGTAAAATAAATAAAAAATTTCATGCGTTGTTGTAATTATTTATGTCTCGTTTTGTATTATTCGAACTATACAACATCAATATTCAAAACGAAAATGAATATAGACTTGAGTATCGCGAAAAATGTAGTTCATAAGTAAAAGGCCTTTTCGATTTAAATAGATTATGTCGCGTAATGACGTAAATTGTTTGAAAATTTGTATTTTAGTTTTCAATTGTTGCTTCTAAATCTGATTCGTTCGGATTGAGAGAAATTTATGAAATGTCGGATA